TCTCTCTCTCTCTCTCTCTCTTTCTTTCTTTCTTTCTTCTTTCTTTCTGTCTCTCTGTCTCTCTCTCTCTCTCTTTTTCTTCTTTCTTTCCTTTCTTTTCTTTCTTTCTTTCTTTTTTCCCCCTGCCGTTAGTGGCATTCTCTGGACCCAGCCTCGTGGGTGAGTTTAAAGTGGGGAGAAACGAGACTGTCCTGGCTCCCTTCTTTCCCCTGGAGCCACCTTCTCATTTGTCCTCATTTAATGGCACATGTGGTTTCGCCCTGGCTTAAGGTCATGCCTTCTTTCCATGCGCAGGACTCATGCATCTCCTTTTCCTTTTTAGGGCTTCGGGAACACAGCAGTTCAGTCCAACGGGGAAATACAAAGCAGATGGAGTCTTAGAAACAGTACGGCTTTCTGGAAAATTATCACGCAACCTTTGGCTTTGTTTGGGCACGGTCTCCTTTCATATAAGTAAATCCTTCCTCAGCTGGGAATGAGCCAGCCCTCCCCGCAGCCCCAGCCGGCAGAACCCGCCACCTGGGACGGGGGTGGGCACAGGTGGGGGGCTTTGGGGACGAGCTCTTGCCAGAACTGGCTTTATGGCCAGAAGGCTGACAGGCGGTCTGTCATTTTGAGTTGTACCAAGCCTGAAGTCCCCCAGCAGTCCAGGCAGAATGCCTTTTAGCTAAACCCAGCCTTTGCTGAGTCCCTCTTTATGTCTTCAACATCCTCTCTGGGACTTTTTTGAGACAGAGGAAGTTAAAAGGTGGGGAAGATCTTTGCTAGGGCAAAGCACCAGCCGTAAAACCAGACCCGAGTAAAACAAAGAAAGGGAAAGAAAATGAGATGTATGAAAATGAGTGACATTTTTCATGAATTAACTTCTGCACTGAGGATTTTGTTTTACCTGGTTTGTCTCATTTGGCCTAGGTTTGGATACATGTGATCCTGGGGTCCCAGTTAAGGGTCTCACTTTGCTGGATGTTTTCTCTAAAAGAGGTTTTTCCTGACCTTCCTGAGAAAGCAAAGGAGACTCATAACCACTGCTTCCCGCTGAACTCAGGACACTGCCTGCTGGGCTTAGACTGGCCTGGCAATGGCGATTTGGATGGGACACCCTGCCCTGGACTCCCCTGCCCCACCTGCCCCCAGAGGCGTCTCAGATGTCCTTGACTAGCCCACAGGGGTGCAGCCCTGCGCATCGAGGCCATGCGTGATGCCGGCTCACTGACTGTAGTCCCATGACGTCTCCAATGCTAGGGTCTCTAATGGTGGCCCAGCGCTGCTGCGAGGCGAGCTTGACCGCAGAGACCCCAGCTGGGCCCTGCCAGCCTTTAAGTAACACACGGGCGTGGGAGTGCCTCTCCACCCTGGCTCCCAAGGTCACCCCTCTGTGACTGCAGGGACATCCCCCAAATGGGGTTTTGTAGCTTCTGAAGCCAAAGCCCCAGAAGATACCCCGAGCTGGGGCGCCGTCTGCGGGGCCGTGGCTGCTCACCCCGCACGTCTGTTCTCTTAGCTCGTGCTCTACACTTTGACCTGCTATGAGGAGCTGGTGACTTTTCTTCAACAAAGTGTCCATCAGGTATGAACAGTGGTTTAGTTTGTGGGCCATGCATTGTTACACTTTGTACTTTGCTTGCTTGCAGAAGAGATGCTGGTGAACTGGAGTGGTCCCCATCATCCCTGCCCTTGGGTGAGCGGTTGGGTGGCAGAGAGGCTGGGAAGGAGCTGGAACTGGCCCTGGGTACCACGGCTGAGGGCAGTGGAGTGATTTAGGCTGGAGAAGAGTGGACCTGGGGGCAGGTACCCATTCTCTGCCATTTTGTCCTTGAGGGCTGGCCATGGCCACGAGATACAGGGAGTTGCCGTGGTGAGGGCCACGGAAAGCAGAGCTGGGATGGAGCGGGGTCCGAGCGAAGGTAAGCAGCTAATAGCCTGAGGTTATGAGAGCTTTCTCTCCGTCTGAGGGGGAACAGCCACTTCTGCCAGCACCAGCTGGGGAGCTGGTGATGACGTGGATTCCTGGGCTGGGTTGGAGGTCTGAGCGCTGTGGACGGAGACCCTGTTCACTACAGGCTCTTGCTTGGTGTCTTGGGAGGCAGGGCGGGGCCAGGCAGGACCTCTAGACACCCCGTCTGCTGGAGGAGATCCGTGCCCCCCCCCCCCGGCTGTGAGACGGGATGGGCCTCAGCCGGGGCTTGGGAGCAGTACCATCAAGGGCTCAGGGCACTCAGCGGGGCTGCAGCCTCGTGGCCTTGTGCAGGATGGACAGGGTTGGACGCTCCAGGGGTAAAGGACGTGGTCTCTGGAACCATCGGCCTGGAGCCATCGGCCTGGGTTTGCATTTAGGGTACCCTCTAGTAGCTCTGTGGCCTCGGGCGACTTAACCCTCCGTCCCTCAGTTTCCTCATCTGTACCGTATGGCTGACAGTAGCAGCGCCTGTCTCAGAACTCTGCAGAGTGCCCCGCTCAGCTTTCTCGGCGTGGGGAGCTTCCTTGTGGATATTAGATCACGATTGTCATGATTATTTAAGGCAACCTGGGGACGGCTTAGTTACAGACACATCGAAATGAGAGAGGGAAGCCTTGCTGAGGGAGAACGCAGCAAGGGCCAAGGCATCGGCCTCTGAGACCCCCAGCTCTAAGGCCTCGCAGTTCCGATGTCTGCGTATCAGGACTGGAGGAAAGCGAGCACAAGCCACTCTGCCTCGCTGTGCAGGCGAACTCCGTGCCTCCTCTTTGCCTTTTCCTTCAGCTTCTGAGCTGTGGGCTCGTTTCTTTTAGGCTCCAGAGAAGGCTTTATAGGATTCGCTGGTGAGCCTGGAGGATGGGAGAACCCGCCAGATGTGGGAGCAGGTTGGACACGCCTGCTGTTAGAATACCCTCCCCTGGGACCCTTCCCTGAAGACGCCGAGGGTCGGGGCACAGACTGGGAAGTGTCCTGGCCCCAACAGCACAGCCGTCCTCTGGGTAGGAGAGTGGGGCCTGCCCTGAGACCATGGCAGGGCAGGTGTGCAGTCACTGGGGTGCTGGTCCATCTGAAATCCTCACCCCCAGAGCCGTTGCCTTGGGGATAACTCAGCCCAAGGAGAGGCTGAGAGCCTGGCCCAGGGTCCAGCCGAGGATGCTGCCTTTCCGTGCCAGCTGTTCTGTCTGGCCTGTCTGGGAGGCGTGTGGGACCCCTCTCATATGGGAGGGGTCCTGGCCTAGGTTTGGGGAGTCTGGAGCTGGCTGGCACGTGCTTGCCTGCCTCTGGCTCTCTCTGGTTCCTTATGGACATACACCAGTGGGCTGTCTGCCATGCAGTGCCTTCCCCGCCTGGCCCAGTGCAGCCACGGGGGCCTGAAGCAGGGGCTCAGGGTCCTCCTCTGGCTTATTCCTTGGTCACATGTGACCTCAGGAGAGTCACTGGGCCTCAGTTGCCTCATCTGGAAAACAGAAGATGGAGCAATTGGCAGATAACTTCCAGCCCTTTACTATTCAACCATGGTTCTTAAAGAAGAAACGTAAATGTCTGAAAAAGAACATCCTCCAAATTAAGTACCAGGCACTCTAAATAAGCAGAAAGGAAACCTATTATTAAATACTCACGAAGCGTCGTGACAGTGTGGCAGTGCATCGGAGAGAAGCAAAGCCTGTGGGCAGAGGTGTGCCTGCTTTGACCGGGGAGGCCAGGGCCAAGGGCATCCGTGTTCACAGCACCTGGCGAAGCGGGTCATGGAGCGAGGCCAGGAGAGGGAAGTGCCCAGCGAGCCTTCCAAAGGACAAAGGGTGGGCCCCAGGGTGAGTGCTCTGGGGCCCAGGGGTCTGAGGCCCATCATGCCCACTATGGCCCCTGGGTGGCCCCTGAGCACCAAGGCCTTCTACATCCTTGTCTATAAGAAGGGGCCTCCCTCTTCCCTTGGCCTGTACCCCCAAGGTTTCCTTCTTCAGTAGAGTCCAAGCGAGACATCGACTGCAAAGGAGGTCCAGAGCGTGGGGCCTGTGCCAGGGGAGAGAGCCGCCCTCTTTCTGTCGGCCTCTGGGCTCGCAGCACCACCCGCTCCGTGCCCGGCTTGGTCCCTGGGTGCCGGCGGTCAGTATTTGGCCCTCCCCTCCCTGGAAGGCCGTGTTTCGCCCTGCAGTGTAATTTATGTTTTTGCTGGAAGCCATCGAGCTGCCTCAGCACGGCTTCCACCAGATTCATTTCTCGTGGCCTGGGCCTGAGAGGGGCCCCTCGTGCCAGGCCCGGAAATAAGCACCGAGCCATCTCTGCCCAAAGTAAATCGGCTCCTTGCCGTGTTTTCATAACTGCTCACCCTCTGGGCGACACGTCTGCCCGGCCCCCCGCGGGCCGGGGTGAGCTTCCACCCTGCCTCCGGTTGGGGCTCCGCGGTGGGCTCAGGCCTCTCCAGGCCAGAGCGAAGCGGGCGGACGGCCCCTTCTTCTCGAGCGGGACCGGACATTTTTCCAGACCCTCGTGGTGGTTTCTGGCCCAGCTGCCTGCTTTAGTTCTCCCTTCGGTGCCAGTGCCCGGCCCCGTGGCCTCCCATGTCTTGGCAGCTTGAGCTTGATGAGATAATTTTACTAAATGCTTTTTTAAACAAAATAGAATAGGGTGTCATTCAGTCATGTTCTGGCAAGCGCCAGAAGCCTAGGCGGGGTCGTTTCCCACCCTCTGCAGCCTTACCTAACCAGGCCGCATGGAGGGCATGGCCGGGGCTCATGCTAAGCCCCCTTGAGGGTGTTCCAGCGACTGCGGAAAGGGCCGGCCCGAGCAGCAACAATAGTTCTCCACGTTTGCAGAGCTAGGGCTTACAGTGGGCTTCTGTCCCTTACTTCTCTGCGGTCCGGTAGGTGGACAGGCATGGCACACGTGGCAGAGGGGGAAGCACACCGAAGAGGTGTCGTGGCTTTCTCGAGACAACGTGCAAGTGCGTGTGGCGGGAGTACGCAGCATTTCGGGAGGGGAGACCGAGACTGAGAGCTTTGGCATCCCTGAGGCAACGTCCAGTCCACGACTTCCCCAGGGTGACATGGGAACCTGTGGCGGAGTCAGTAGGTGTTACCGAAGGGGAAGCTGAGGCTCAGGGAGCTTTGCCGCTGCGAGGCGACGTGCAAGCCCGTGGTAGAGCCGTGACAGGCCTGCGTCCCCCTGCGCGAGGACGTGAGCGCGCCTCTTCCCGCTGTTAGAGAATGTCCACGGGCGCGGTCTCGTAGAGCGTGAACCGGAAGTTCATTACCCTTGCTTTGCAAATGGGGAAACTGAGGACAGCAGAAGTGAAGCTCCTGGCCCAATATCACAGCATTAAGATGAGGTCGATTTAAGATCGTTGTCGATTCATTCATTCCATTTCTACTTCCAAAAAAAAAAAGATTTAAAGTTACTTATTAAAAGAATGATGTCCTCAGAGGCGTTGTGCGTTTTATCCATAGTCAACCCGCCCTCTCTTGCCTCTGGGCCTTTGCACCTGCTTTTCCCCTTGCCTGGAACAGCGATCTCTTCTCTTCTGATTCCTCCTCGTCCCTTGGGTTTCTGCTTGGACGTCACTCCCTCCAGAGAGCCTTCCTTCTCGCGCCCTCCTTTCCTAAACCCTGCGTGTGTCGGTGCCCCTTCCTGAGTGTTTCCAGAGACCCTTGTATTCCCCATCAGAGCCGAGCCCCTTCCCCACCATTTTCAGTTGCTTATTGTTTTTTTCTCTGAGTTACTTCTCATGGGGGCAGGTCTACCTCGTTCACAAGTGGAGCCTTAGCGGAGAGCATCCTCGGCACAGGAATTTCACGTGGCGTTTTTTTTTTTTTTTTAATGACTAATTGAATTACCTAATGAAAATAAAGACTATGTTTGGAGGAAAAGGAGAGATAATTTTATCAGAAGCGTACAGTAAAATAATTACCATAGCTGAGCTCCATATTTGCCTCTGAGCTTCCTGGCAGCCAAGGCAAAAAATAAAATATAAATTCTATAATTCTTACTGTTCCAAGAAGACAAGTTTTTTCTTTCTTTCTTTCTTTCTTTCTTTCTTTCTTTCTTTCTTTCTTTCTTTCTTTCTTTCTTTCTTTCTTTCTTTCTTTCTTTCTTTTCTTCAGCAGGCTTTCTCTAGGTGATATTCCTTGAGATACTTTGTAGGTGACCTTCCCACATTTTTGTCTATCATCCACATGCCAATGACTCAATTAATTTTTCCAGCTTTGAGTCCTCCTACAGTTCTCAACTTACTTAGCCAACAGTCTATGAGACATCTTTTCTTTAATGCCCACTTCCTTCCTTCCTTCCTTCCTTCCTTCCTTCCTTCCTTCCTGTTTTAAGTCCAAAAGGAAACTGATCCCTTGTAGGAAACACTCACGATTGTAACAGGCAGCATCTTCGACAGCAGTTTATAGAAGTAGCATCGTCACTGCAGTGAGGTCTTCACTCTGATTTGCAGCCAGGGGATGGCATTTTCCCAGGGAGCCCAAGTGACGTAGTGTATCCCAGCAGGCTGTGTCCCGCTGGGCTCACTGGACAGGTGGGCAGTGCGGAGCCAGCCTCAGACTGACAGCTAGCACAGGCGCTGGGCCCTGTTCTAAGTACACAGATGATCCCACCTCATCTTTACAATGACCTGATGAGGGCAGGTCCTATTATTATTATACTCGCTTTACAGATGAGAAGACTGGGGAGAGAAGTAATGTCCCTGTGGTCACATAGCTAGGAGTGGCAGAGCCAAGATTTAAGCCTAGGGAGCGAGGGTCCAGGCAGGCTGTGGGCTCCAAGCCAGGGTTGGGACTAAGGGCAGGCGAGTAAGGGGTTCACCTTGGGCGCGGAATTCAAGGGGTCACCCAATACCTCAGTAATCAGCCTAAAAATATTTTAATATAATAGCTAAAACATGACATACTTAATCCACAAGACTCCACGAGGAACAACACATAAAAAAATTTTTAAAGGATCTGGCTTTGCTCTTGCTCAGCTTACCTGACTGCCCCTCCTGCTCCAAACCCACTCGAGGCTGCACAGTCCTTGGGAGTAAGGAATTTGGGATCAGACATAGCCCTCCGGAAGCCCACTGGGACCTCAGGCCAGTGGCTCGGTTTCTGAGCCCCGGTTTCCGTATGTGGCAGAGGACAATAATAATAGTCCTTACTGCACTGGCCTGTGATCATTTGAAATGTGATAATGAGCATAAGACACTTGCACGGTGACGGAGGCTGCTTCTGTCGCTGCTGCAACCTGAGCTTCCGCGACCTGGAACTCAAGGGCGTGCTGCTTGGCGGGCACTGCCTCTGCTTCCGTTGTCGCTCAGGCTGGGGCGATCCCGTCCCTTAGGGGGTCTGGCTGGTGAGAGCTGCACGGGGGTCTGCCTCTGGGGCCAGGATGGTGGCAGCTGGCTCGGGGTCAGGCTGTGTTCCCCGAGGAGGTGAGAGGAGGGAGGTGTGGACCTGATGCGCGCTCATTCCTTTCTCTTCCCAGTTTGAAGTGGGCCCCTACGGATGCATCCTGCTCACCCTGTCCGCCATCCTGTCCCGGTCCACAGAGCTGTGAGTATGTTCCTCCCTCAACTCCCAGGGCGGCTTGTCTGCCTTGCTCACTGAGCCTCGCCGGAGCCCAGGGCGGCTTGTCTGTCTTGCTCACTGAGCCTCGCCGGAGCCCAGGGCGGCGCTTGGCGCACAGAGGGTGCTTGCTCAGGGAGCCTGGTGGGAAGGAGGAGTGAAGGCTGGTGGAGGAGAGAGGAGTTACACTCTACACACACGTGTGTTCAGTGCCACCTTCTCTGTGGTCGCCTGCCGTGTGCTGGGGAGTGCGCGGGTGGTCTGAGAGTTTGCGGTGCGCATGCTTCAGCACACATGTGGACTCCCCTGGGACATATGCAGGGATGACAATCGAGTCTGAGTCCTGGGAGGTGACAGGGTCCCTAAGAGCTTAGGGAAAGGGAATTTGCCATAGGCCAAGGCAGTCGCAGGCTGCCAGGCTTGGTCTAGACCAGCCCTGAGGAGATGGGCGCCCGGGGCCTGGGAGGCAGAAGGAGTGGGGAGGCCGGGTCCCCGGTCCCAGGCATCCTTGCCAGATGCAGCTTCCAGGTTGCCTGAGGGCTGGAGTTCTTCCGTCACACTCGTCGTCCCCTAGGAGCTTTCTAGACCTCATCCATATTCGTCACCTGGGCATTATGTCACCACGGAGAATTCAGATTAATAGCACGTTAATAGTCTCGTGAAGTACAATCGATCGCCCCGTTCACTTTCGAGCAGAGAGCAGGCCCCTGGGGTGTGGAGGCCTGGGAGACGGCATTTCCGCTTTGGGGGTGCTTGGCAGGGGGGAAGATTTGGGACTGTCCTAAGCAGGTCGACTCTGGCAAGTGGGGAGGTAGAAGGTGGAGGTGGGAGGTCCCCAGACTGTGGGGTCCCCAAGGGAAGGAGACTCCTGCTCCCCTCGGCTGGGCCTGAGTTGGGCCCCATGCATGTTCCCCGTGGCCTCTGGTGCAGGTGGGAGGAGGACACGTGGGCTCTGAGGCCTCGTGCCACCGGCCTGCCTGCTGCTTGCTGCTCTTGACCTTATTAAATACATGTGTGTGCACAGCATTTTCTAATGGCTTTTTTCTCCTAATCCTGCCATAATGATATGATTCATTCCTGGCCTGGGCTCACGTGCGTGGAGACCATAGCTGCACTGCCCTCTCCCCAGGCCTAGCTTTGCTAATCCCCGGGCTGACAGAGTTATTGGAGGGGGGGTGGTGGTGTGTCTCCGGGGGATGGTGAGACCCCCGAGCTCACTGATGGGAAGGTGAGCTTTCAGAAGGCCTGGCCTGGTGATGTCTGACTATGTGATCTTTTTGGCCTCTGTTTCCCCTCTGTGTGGGGTCTCTTTTGGCTCTGGGGGTCTAGGCCTGGGCTCACCAGCCTGGGAGCTCGGCACTCCGTTTGTAGCTGTGCTCGTGCAGGTAGCAGCTCGGGCAGCCTTGCCCAGCTGCAGGGCGCGGGGCCCGTGCCTGGGCTGCTCTCCACGTTGTCGAGAGCTGGGGGAATGGGCTGCCTCTCTGCCTTCCTGCCCCATCCACCCAGGCTGGACGAGGGTCAGTCCCCGTCCAGGGGGACATCTGTGTGGGGACGGCTGCCTTGCTGGGCCTACAGGGCCTCATACTATGGGGCCCAAAGTTACAACCCTGCCAAACCCCTTCCGATTCACTGCAGACACACACACACACACACACGCGCACACACACACACACACACACACACACGTCTGCGCACGTGCATGCGCAGGTACATGTGTGATCCAGCTGCTGTCACTTCCGCCCCTTGTTCCCAGGGCAGGGCAGAGAGTCTGTTCATGACAGTTCCTTTCCCCTCACTGCCCCTAAGGACCTTCCTGAGTCCCGGAGGCCGGGTGCTGAGGCCTCTCGGGGCAGCTTTGGCTAGCCTGGTGCCCGCCGTCTGGGAGGACTGGCATAGAGACCTGCTTTAGCACTGGACCCAGCAGGGCGGCGGTGTCGGGCCTGGCTTAACACTCCTCTGAGCCTGAGTTTCTCACCCTGTGCGACGGGGATGATAATTCCTGCCTCACAACATTAAATGAAATAAACATGTGCCTGGCATGGCTCCCAGTGGGTGGTGAGCCTTGGACCGTGGCTGCTGCTAGTCTGACCCCATCCCTGCTGTACTCAGATGCCCGCGTCCCATCCTGTTATTTCTTGCCCTCGGTCTTGGCTCGGTGCCTTGTGGCAGAGACACAGCCCCGGGGATGTCCTGCAGTTGGCGATGGTTCCACCTGCGGCTGCGCTCACCCTTGACAGGCACTTCCTGAGTGGCCCGGCAGCTCCCTGGGTGCTGGGTGCTGGGTGCTGGGTGCTGGAATGAGGCGGGCGAAGGGGCAGCCGGAGGACCCGTCCCCGCTCTGGGCGTGCGCCACCCAGAGGTGTGCTAGAGAACTCTCTCTCTCTCGTGTTCAAGTTCAAGAAAACTTTTACTTAAGCTACCTGAGGGCATCAGGTGGGGAATACACAGGCCTTGGGGCCACCTGGGCTTCTCCAGACCCGGCCTCCCTCTGACCCGGGCAGTCCTAGGCTGGCTGCCTGACCACTTCGCACGCCCACGGGGCTGCCAGGGACTCGCGTGAGCATCGCAGTGGGGCTGACCTGTCCTCCCCGTGGTCCTGGGGGCTCCCCGTTGGGGGTAGCAGCTGTGAGGGAGGGCAGAAGAGTGGGCGGTCATGACGCTGCCCAGACCCTCTGAGAGGATCATGCTGAAACTGTTTAAAACAGCGCGTTAGCATTCCTGGCGTTTCCGAGGGCTCCTCTGAAGGAGCCGTTCTCGCCTTGGGGGCGAGGGCTCCTGGAATGGCCCCCGCCCCCTCGCCCACATGCCAGGCACGTTGCATGCCCCGTGGTGCTCCCCTCAGCTCCCCAGAGCCTCCGGTCTCCATCGGTCTCGGGAGGGGCGCCAGGCCTGGCTCAGGGTTTGATCTGGTTGGCAGCGATAACAGTTCTGGGACTGTGAAAACCCACCTCGTCCTGGCCTGCTTTGGGGGTTAGCAACTTGCAAAGGCCTTTCTTTGTGGACTTTTGGGCACCCGGGGAAAAAAACATCACCCAGAACAAGTACCATTTGTCGGTCTGAGCAGAGAGGCTTGTCCAGGGCAGCCCAGTGAGTGACAAGTCACATGAAAGAAAGCGTCCCGCTCACTGGCTACAATGTAGCTTCAGGACACCCGGGTCCCCATCTCTGCTCTGCTGCCCACGAGCTGTGTGGCGGGCCCGACCTTCATTTGTCTTTTTAATCACCGACAGGACGCAGGGGGTTCTGGTGCTTCCTAGTCTCTTTCTGTAGTGAAAAGAAATCAGATTTTCCCCCAGAGAAACCATATCTCGAAGCTCACTTTGTGAAGCCGGTGGGGATGGGGGGTGGAGACCCTTGTCCACGCCTCCCCATTTCCTACCAGGTGCCTCTGAGACTCCTCTGTGGAGGCACTCCTGCTCTGCCAACACAGCTCGAAAACCGAAGGACCAGACTATCACCAAGGGCCTCCCTGCTCTGGGTTCAGATTCAGCTTGGCCAAACCCTCTGAGGCCGTGTCAGGGCGACCTGTCCCTGTGGACAGTTGACGACATGTGCTGGCAGGCCAGAGAGAGAGCAGAGTATCTCAAATCACATGCTCTCCGCCAGGGCGAAGTGAGTGGGGGCTGGGAAACCAGCCCATTCTCTACAGTCACAGCGTGTGTGGGTGCGTTCGTGACGGTGTGTGTGGGTGAGAGGTGGGCGAGGCTGAGGGGCCGGTTGTGAGGTGATGTGGGTGTTGGCGGTTGTGTTTGAGATTGTGGGAAGGCTGGCTTGATTGTGAGTATGTGAACGTATGTGAGTGTGTGTAAATGTCTGTATATTGTGAGCGCGCATGTGTGTATATGAATGTGTATATGTGTGCGTGAGTGTACCTGTATGTGAGTGTCTGTGTGTGTATACATGTAAGTGTCAGTGTATATGAGTGTGCGTGTGTACGAATGTGTGAATATGTATGTATGAGTGTACCTGTGAGTGCATATGTGAATGTGTGAACGCATGTGTGTAAACATCTGTATATGTGTGTGTATGTGTGTATATACATGTGAGTGTGTGAGTGTATGAGTATGTGTGTATGAATGTGTGTGTGCGAATGTATGTGAGTGTGTGTAAACGTCCGTATATGTGTGTATATGAGTGTGTATGTGTGTATGAATGTGTGTGTATGTGAGTGCATGTAAACGTCTGTATATGTGTATATATGAGTGTATGTGTATGTATGAATGTGTGAGTATGTATGTGTGAGTGTACCTGTCTGTGTGTGTATGTGTATATACATGTGAGTGTGTGTGTATGAGTGTGTATGTGTGTATGAATGTGTGTGTATGAATGTGTGTATGTGAGTGTGTGTAAACGTCCGTATATGTGTGTATATGAGTGTGTATGTGTGTATGAATGTGTGAATATGTATGTGTGACTGTGACTGTGAGTCTGTATGTGTGTATGTGTGTATATGTGTGTATGAATGTGTATGTATGAATGTGTGTGTATGAATGTGTGTGTAAATGTCTATATGTGTGTATATGAGTGTGTATGTGTGTATGAATGTGTGAGTATGTATGTGTGAGTGTATATATTTGTGAGCGTGTGAGTGTATTGTGTGTGTGTGTTTGTGTGTTTGTGTGTGTGTGTGTATGAATGTGTATGTATGAATGTGTGCATATGAGTGTGTATGTGTGTGTGTATGAATGTGTGTGTAAATGTATATGTGTGTATGAGTGTGTATGTGTGTATGAATGTGTGAGTATGTATGTGTGAGTGTATATATTTGTGAGCGTGTGAGTGTATTGTGTGGGTGTGTTTGTATGTGTGTGTGTGTGTGTGTGTGTGTGTGAGTGTGTGTGAGTGTGCTCGAGACTGAGGGCATGGCCATCCCCTCTCCCAGCAAGGTTCTCAGGCTCACGCCTGAGGCCCTGGCACGGAAGGCAGCCTCTCCTGTCCGTTGCCCCGGGGTGCAGACGCAGCAGAGTGAGCAGCAGAGCGAGCCTGGC